ATGGCAATGAGGCGAGGCGGAGCGGGTACCTCAATTCTCAATCTCGTCGCGTAGGTACTGGGCGGACGACCCACTCTTACATGTTATTAGAAAACTATACACACAATATTTTACTTTTTATGATAAAAGAAAGAGAAAATGTTTTATGAATGAAAAATAATGATAATAAAATGAGCGATTGAGTCTAACTAATTAAAAGATAAAGTCGAACTAGTTGAAAAAAGTCAAAATATGATAAATATTAATCATTATAAGAAATTGAGTCAGAATGGGATGGGGCGGGGCGGGGCAGTACGGGTCAGAAGTAGATACCCATGTCCCGCCCTATGCTATTGCTAGTCGGGTGATACCCGTCCCGTCACGGGTCAAGTCGGTGGGTTCAATTTGTCATCCCTAAATGAATGAGATGAGCCTAGATTTTTAATGAGCTATATATAGTTAAATGTAAAATTATTAAATAATACATGTAAGGTAAATTTCATTTCAATCACTAAAATTTAAATTATGTTTCACGACTCTAATGAGTTACGTTGTTCACTAAAGTTCTCCCAGGAGTGAATCAGACTTTCGGCTAAAATTCATTATTATGTTGTGATTCGTATATGGCTTGGTTATGTGTAATTGGCATGTTGGCCGATTGCATAGTCAAAAATATGAATGAATAACTGATTTGATATGTGTTAATTAAGTAGGGGCTAAACTCTTACCGACTACTCTATTTTCTAAATCTGTCACAAATCTTACATGCATTTCAAAGTTGGATAGAGCTATAACCCCTCATAGTTTCAACCTAATTACATCACTGCATGTTGAATGAGTGCAAGCACAAAAATGAAGTATGTTTATAACCTACACGATTCATTCAAAAAATGACTTGTTTGAATTACTCATTCAAACGACCTCATACGCGTCTATGCGTGTTATTTGTGGTTGAAATGTCAAATGCTATGCGAGTCGGAGCACAAGGTTGGAATCTATCTATAAATCTACCCTTCCAATCCTAATCTCAAAACCTATTTGAGACTGTATAACAGTATAATGCTGTCATCAATTCATATCTAGTGATTGTTCCACTTTTTTTTTTGTTTGTTTAACCTTAAAATTGTGTATGAAAGCCTAATAATCCACACAATGATAAATATTATCCTCACTTTCCTTTCTTGATTGCTTTTAAAACAATCAAAAGTCAGATTAATGTTTGGAAAATACATAATAGAGAAAGAGAAACCTTAGAATGATAAATGAGATCAGATGCATGGGTCCCTGTGTTGGTCCCAATTATTTGGGGAATATTTATATTTTAAAGTGTAATTGAAGACTTTTCTTACAGGGGAAAAAAAACAAAGAATACTGTTCAGAAATTGTGGGGAACAATAATCATAAGGGTGGGGCTGGCTGCCATGTTTTTTGGATTTTCATGTCTTTTAACTGTATCTTTGAAAGGGAAATTTAACAAACCTCGGATGTTGTGTTTTATTATGGAAAACTAATTAGTCATTTTTCATAAATAGTGTGTGTAAATATATCAAAATATTAGGATATGTAATGTTTAATGACTAATGAGTCGTACAATGAATAATCAGACAAACCAATATGTTCTAATGTATAGTTATGGTTTGTGGTAAATGTGGGAGAAATGAACCTCCCAATGATTAAGTATAATCTAACCGATGTTTGCTCAACACATGCCATGACGACAAATTTGAAATATTAGTGTTAGAGTTAATCTACGAAGTCATCTTCCTCATCTCTCGGGATAGTTCGACCATGTGTGGTATCCCCTACAGTTTAGTATGTGTAACAATATCATGCCCTAATTTGACGGGGAGGCAGGAACCTTGATGAAGTGGTACAGTGCCCTCCTGCCATTCGCAATTGTCAACTCCAACATTGTCGATAGACAATGTGTGATACGTCGACGGTGTTGGAGTATCCTTCCTCATCAAGTAAACAGCGACAAATGGGTTTGGGATATTAGTTTTTTTTTTTTAAACATAACCAATGAGAAATTTAAACCCTTTTGAATTGTCGGCCCCAAACCATTTTTTGTCTTAAGTGTATTGGTTTTAGTTGAAAGTTGAAACAAAAAGAACCGGTAAGAAATCGAAGTCCAGTTTTTGCTAGGGGGTGATGCATGAGTTGTAACGTTTATTTAGTGCACCCCTCCCTCGTTTCGCTTCTATCGGTTTCTTCAAATCATACCTTTGAAAGGCTTATCGGTTTTCAACACATTGAAAATCGATAAAACATCTTTTGGTAGTTAACAATTTTGCTTTCCTACTTTTGTCCTATTAGTTGAGTTAACCGAACCTAACGAAATCGACTGTTCTACCGACAAATGAGTAACTAATCAACGATGATACGCTACATACATACATATATATATATATATATATATATATATATATATATATATATGGCGAGTTCTACGGTACCCCGAGTAAAATCCGGTGTACCGCATACCTTGAGTATGAAAACGCTATCCAGACCTTGAATTGATTGATCTTTTGGACATGATATTATACTCTAACCCTTAAAGATCAAAATCTAGGTCTTAGTTCCCTAAATCTTATACTCAAAGATAAATTTAATTAGAAACAATAATCGACGGCTATGATTCGTCCAAATATAGGCAAAAAAATGAATGCTCCGTCTTAGGGTTTATAGTTTATGATTTAGATAATTAGGACCTAGGGTTCACTCAATAAGGATTAGGGTATAGTACCAAGCCCAAATTTTTTTCTATTTCGAGGTCTAGATAGTGTTTTCATACTCAAGGTATACGGTACCTTGGATTTCACCCGGGGTACCGTAGAAGCCACCATATATATATATATATATATATATATATATATATATATATATATATATATATATATGGTGGCGTCTTCGGTGCACTCACTTTTTTGGGTGCGTTCAGTGCACTCGCTTCATAACCAACATTTTAAACATGCAATTTATGTAAAAATGATGTCAATCATCACTTATGATGTGATGAACAATAACGCACATGAATTTGCACAAAAACCATTGAAGATTTACGTTAATTTGAAGGATTTAGAGTTTAGAGGTTTAGGGTTAGGGTTAGGGTTTACAATTTGGAGTTTAGGGATAGAACTCAAAATTGGAGGTCTAAGCCTTAGGGTAATTGGCTAATTAGTTGTTATCATACGTTAGATCATCATATTACACTGATTCTACAAATTAAAATTCAACATCCGACACCTTAAGACTAGTTTTTGAGTTGGGTGCATTGAACGCACCCATTTTTGTGAGTGCACCGAAGTAGTCACTATATATATATATATAGTTCTTTTCATTGTAAACAATATCAGAGTAAAGGTATTTTCAATCATGAAGCTGCACTTCTTTTCCTCATCTAACAAGTTAGTATGAAGTATGAACCATTCATGGTTGGTATCTCAACTGTTCAACATAAATAGCTCATCACCTTAATCACTGTCCGACATATATTGATTAACTATATGTAACTGTGTAATTAATAACTTACTTAGAAACTAATTCAACAACCAAGGGAGCCTTTACTTCTTCAATCGAGTAGCTCTGCAGGATTCAATGAACCGTTCTGCTGACATTTTCAGGTAGGAAATTAAGAACAGGACAAACGAACAGAACAATCAATGCTAGCTATGGATAGAAACAGAACCATTATATTAATTATTAGTTAATGAAGTACCAAGTAATTAATAATATCATTAATTAACTAGTTAAATGGCAGAGATCCATGGAACAGTTTGATATGAATTATATTGTTCTGCAGAATCTTCACCTGCCTAATTAAGCATCCTAACCTCCATTTACATAATAATAATAAATGTTCATGTTCATCTTCCCTGTCTCTGGTACTGCTGCCAAGTGGCGCACATGGCCGCCATCACAGGTCCAATTATAAATCTACAGTTACTTCTTCTTCTTCTTAAAGTTAATTGAGCATATGGCAAGCTTCCATTATTAATTTGTATAGCTACAAATATGTAATTTTGTCTATCACATTCATCCACCTATTATTCTCTGCTCTTGACATTGGACAATTTTCATGATTTGAATATATATGAAACTGGCATGGATAGTGGCTTATGCCAAAAATATGATTTCGTTGCAATATCACTTGGGTTATTGAAAAATATTTAAAATTAAATTAATTTTTTTATATAAAGGGTATTGTTCACGAAGGGATGATATACGTTTGAACTTGTTTCAATATCTCGAATTATTCAGACAATCATATAATATCGTAGCATTTAACATACTTAATAGGTCTTGTATTTAAAACGATCATGAACCCTGTATCAAGAGTTGAAATAATAAAAAAAACTTGGGTTATTAGTTATTACTTATTACCAGTGTACGCAAACTTCAAGCTGATTGTGCTCATTTAGGGTTTTTTCGTTTAAGAGGGTGTGTGACATAATGATATAATATTATCCATATGGCTAGACATGCATCTATGATCAACGACTCAAGTTACTGAAACTAGCGAGTACGGGGTCTCTGCTATTATATACGTTAACATGATGATATATAATTATGTGTGAGCAGTACGCGAAGTTAGGAACATTCCAATTTTATTAGATGTCCCCGAATGGAGAGTGGCAAAATTAGGAATCAATAGTGAGGCGGACTACAAAGAGAGAAAAAAAAGGGTATAAGTATTAGTTTGTTTATCATGTGATTCAAAAATTAAAACCAAAGATAAAAATATTGAGGGGTTACAGACTTATAGCCCACTATGAACTACACGTAGCTCTGCTATCGTCGTGTTAAGACTTACATTTCAAGATTAATTATACGGGGAAAGAGTACTTCCATGATAGTTGAGATGTAGTACTATCTACGCATTGCTGGAGTTGTCGACGATGTATTGTCGTCATAGCATTTATAGAAAAACACACCCAAATTACTATATGTTTCTTTTTTCCAGTCAAACATAGTATTTCTGCTCAAATGCTACGTTATGCGAGATTTGTATCTAAATACCTCACCAAAATATCCATTTCTACCCTTGAAATTTTACAATCAACGAAAGAATCCACAGATCAACTTCCAGTTCGACAATAGCTAGTTCAGCAACTCAGTTTTCTGTACATGTACGGTGTATGACTTTTTATTTTAGATATTTTATTTTATATTGCTTTCATTCAAACATGTCCATTTACTATTTCTTACATCGAACATACTCTTGTACGCTTTAGAAACGTACATACACGGTACAGAATACCGGGTGCTACAACGGAGTAACCTTCCAGAATCTTGTGTGTGGCTAGCCGGAAGTAGAACGCCGATGTGGAGAGCGGGTGGTGATTAGGTGGCTGAAATTGCCGGCGGCAAGTTCAAATGCGCCATTACTAACATCGTCGGCGGAACCGACGGTGGCTCCCTTGAGGAAACGGGAATACCAGTGGGCAGAGAGCTTAGGATATCGGGTCAGGTTCGGGTCGTCCAAGTCCACGTAATACAATCCGAACCCGGTCTGGAATCCGCCCAACAGTTCGAACACGTCCAACAACGACCACATGAAGTAGCCTTTCACGTTGCACCCATTCCTTTCAACCAAAAATTTTTTGGTCAGTTAAAAAGCAAACAATTGAATTGAATTGTGAAAGAAATGCATTACAAGATGGGTATATCTATTAGCCTAGCCGCAATATTTGGGTTCGAGTTTCACCCATACTCAATCCAAATCTTTCGAATTTGGCTTTTATACCCTACCCAATTAGTAAGGGTGTCAATGGATCGGGTCCGAGGTGAATAGTGCATATCAATTACCCTACTCAAAATAGTTTGGGTTATACCCATAACCATACAAGAATCGGGAAGAACATCAAAACCATACCTATATATTGTCATGTCAGATCGGGTTTCGCTTTTTCCACGATTATCCATTTATAATAATTTTTCGTATGACTTCAACTAACAAGTCAACAATTATACATATACAAAACGGTAAATAAGTGAAAAACACAATAATAAATTACTAAAATGAAAAAAAATAATTAAAAACAATACAATTTCGTTAAAAATATCATATATATGCATAGTAAATACTAAATATCATATATGTTATGAAAAATAACGATAATTTTTAAACAAATTAAACATATGTGTGTGTGTAATCGGACGAGGTCGTGTTATATGGTGAGAAAAATAACTAAATAAGTTCACCATAATCCGTAATATTCAGATTCAGGTTTTAACCATATTCTTTAAAATTCATTTGCGATCGAATTTTACCCCATCTGATTAGATCGGATTTAGTTGGATATATATTCACACGGGTATGATTATTTTTGCCCATCCAAAAACTAAAAGCATGTTGCAAGCGGCAGAGAGAACCGAGCCAGGTATAGGGTTTTACCTAATGGAATCCAACACAGCGCCAATGTAGAGACGAAGATACTCCACTCTGCCTGTGTCCTTCAGAGTTGCATTGCGTCTCTCGAGTTGTCCTGCATGCATCAGCTAGGGTTTACCCGAATGTAAAAGGAAAAAAAAAACAAGGCAAGCTAGTTCAAGCTACAGCTTACCATTTTCATGGATGTAAAGAGGAGGGTTTCCATACAGCGTCTTGAAGTCCTGCAGAATGTCTCCCATAGCCCCCGGCGTCACAGGGAACTAGCATGAAGCCATGAACCCACACACATTCAATCAAGCGAATTGCAACAGTGCTCGCATTCCATTCGTGTCAAACAAATGCTGTATTGAAAGACTCACCCCAACCGAAAAACTTTCCTGGTCCACTGTCAAAGTAAGACAAGGAAATAAATTAGTAGAACTATAGTTAGGGTAGGCTGGGAAACGGTGCAGCTAGTCCGATCGATCATTTAAACGACTTGTGATCCAGATCGAGAGGAGTTGGAGTGTAGATCAGAGATCAGAGTAAATACTACATGGTTCTAGATGATATAACGTATGTGCGGTCTGATTCGGACCGTACATAGCATATTGACTGAACATAAACAATTTCTTTTCTTAAAACATAAATTCCAACGTACATGCATAATTTTGATACTATAAATCCAACTGACTACTGAGTAACAAAAACACAAAAATAAGAGCAACCCAACTTGCACCATAACTTCATAAACATTAACATAATGTCATATGAAGATACGATCATCTCTACTCTGTAGCGGAGTGAGGTTTGTGAATGAAGGATGCGACGGGATTCGTAAAATTGAGGCTGCGACTTAGCTTTCGTTGAGGAGCTGGGAGAGTGGTGGACTGCTGACATGGTAAGTGAGTCGGGTCCACGAATAGGTATATATGGTAAACCGCAAACCCGACCAGATCAAATACACACTACAGTACAGATCATGAACCAGACCTAACCATTCTTAGCGATCTAAGATTCAAACCAAACTGTGCAGTCTGATCCGATCCATAGATTTTCAAACGATGTGATATCAGGGAAATCAATGTCGGGAGTGAGGGATATTATGAATAGGACAGTGGTAATGTTTAGTACTCACTCACCCATCATTTGCGCGCCAACATCGGCGTTGAGGTCTCGTAGCTCCAAATTCAGACTGCTAGGATTGTCTCTGACGGGCATCTGCATGTAGTGTATGAGGCCGAGGAAGTCGAAGGATCCCTTAACTAGTTTCGATTCCTCGCTCGTGAAGCTTGGGAGTCTGGAGCCTACATTCCTCTTCATCACCTCTGGGTAGTCTCCATATACCAGAGGATTCGCGGCCCTGTGAGGTTCGCGGTTAAATATTATACATGAACCTCTTCTTACAACTCGAGTTAATATGGCATACTCTGACATTGGCTCACCATCCAAGGAAGAACTCCTTGGCCCTCTTGACCGCCGCTACATCTGCTGTAGAGTTGGTGTAAGGAACGAAACCGAAAGCGTAGAGCGTCATCCCGATCACCCCCCTTTGCTTCCCCTGCATCCAGAAGAAGAAGACGATCAAAGATTGAAGAATTTGATAACGCGGAATAACAAGAAGACGGGACAAAAGATTTTACGTGATATTCTCGATCGATTGATTGATCGAGACTAATTCACGGTGAGCTCGAAAGAGCTCACGGCTGGCGTTTTATTGAACGACTACGTTGTGACAGCTTGCTTACGACATGTTCGTAGCTAAGTCTTATATAGAGATAGACTAGGGTTAAACTCTAATGAGAAGAGTCGAGTACGGCCACATATCCGTACCTACTACAACTCGGACAAGGCCCAATACTAAGACGGTTTAAGTAACCGCAACACTCCCCCTTAAGCGAAGACATGAATGACAAGAATGTTGAGCTTGAAGAAGTAAATGTGAAGAACAAGCATGATGGCTTGAACCACTCAAGATGAATAACATTTCGGACAAGATTGATTGGAGACGACATGCTCTCTCTGAACAACCTGATAATGGAGACGATTGACTGCGTCTCTTGAACTTGAACACATTTGGTACATCACGGTCGACCTGATGACTGGGTTAATCGACCGACGTATGTTGACCTCCTATTAAGATGGTGACGATGATGATTTAGAAGACGCAATTACATACCTGATAATGGTGCCTGTACAATTGGACGATGGATCCATGTGCCAGAAGGATATGGTGGAGGACCAAGTACGGCTCTGTACTGGAATTCCCTTGAGCGCAGCTCGTGATGCCGAATGGCGGAGAGCAGCGATGTGGAGGCGTCATACCTTGATCGTAGCTCCCCGAGGCGAAGATGTTGGCCTCGTTTACCGTCGTCCAGTGACCGACTCTGTCCCCGAACTCCCTGAAGCACACCTCTGCATAATCTCTGAAATCTCCCCTGCAACGATTTCATTTTCATTATTACTCCTGCAACTTCTCTGCAGTTTCAGTTGAAATTTTCCCAACAGAAAAAACAGAGTAAGTTAATCAGTAGTGCATACACCATTTTCCGGCTAACCCATCCTCCGTACTCGTCCTCAAGAACCTGAGGATGATCGTAGTTGTACAATGACACCTGCGGCTGGATACCTGAAATCAACCAACCAACCCCGTTTTGTTAAGCAAGAAATCTTTGATCATCTTTAGCTAAATTTTTGCAAGAATTTCTTCCAAACAACTTAATTTATTGGGATCTGTTGTGTTTTGATATGGTATTAGAGTGTTTTGATATTGGATCAACTTTAGCTAAATGTTTGTATTCCAAAGTCTGGCTACGCCACTGGTACGTGGTGTAAAATCCATTTATTGATACTAAACCTAGATACATCTATGGCCCAACTACAATCAACCCAACAAGAATCAACACGTTGAATAGGGATGTCAATCCAACCCGTAACCATGGGTACCCTACCCGACCGTAACCGGTCAACGAGGATAATTACCCGCTTTGACGGGTTAAGGGGCGGGTACGGGTAATACCCGGTTTCAAAATAAAGGGTAGGGTACGGGTATGGTAATCGATAATACCCACCCCGTTATACCCGCCCCGCTAACCAAAGGGTCAATTTCCTTTGAGAAATTTAGTTTAGCTACCATTATTGATGATGAAGATGTAGACAATTATTATGTTTGTGTGGATTGTAGAAGCAAGAACAATTATTATGTTTTTGTTGTTTTTATTTGTGTGGATTGTTGAAGCTAGAACAATTAGAAGTATTGAGAATTTTTATTCATAGTTTAGGATTCGTACCCATGGTTACCCGAATACCCGTGGTTACCCGGTGGGTAGGGTATGGTTATATAATTTTCATACCCGGTGGTTATTTGGTCGGGTATTTTAGAAGGCTCTACCCGGCGGGTTAGGAGTTGGTATAGGGTAAACCCGCACCCGACCCTACCCATTGCCATCCCTAACGTCGAAGGTACAACAGCAGTAGCCGAAGTCGCGGCCAGCCATCGAATGTAACGGTCACAACCGTGACACACACACACCACTCTCGGTCGTGTAACTCTTATCATTATTAGTTCATGAATAATATCAAAGCCGGAGAGATTCAACTCTCTGTGTGGTGATTTTTTTTTTATCGTCGCTCGCAATCAAGAATGCCACGTAAAATCGCGTGTTCTCTCTTCTACGCATTCTTTCTAATTTTTCAATTGGAACCAATTGGGTTACGACGGAAGCAAAGTACCTACCGTGGCTGATTAGTTCATTGATGAGGTTGTTGTAGTACTGGACGCCTTTGGGATTCACAGCTCCTCTCCCACCTTCCCTTGGATCAAAATGAAACCAAGCATAGAGAGAGGGGAAACAGAGCAAGACAAACTAAGAACCAGAATGCAGAGCATCAATCAAAAAAAGAACAATAAGAAGCTCTGCACATCTATACATACCAGGGATGAGCCTGGACCAAGAGATGGAAAATCGGTAGGAATCCAGCCCCATTCCGGCCATCAGCCGGACGTCTTCCTCGTACTTATGGTACTGGTCGACGGCGACATCCCCTGTCGCTCCCCCGGCGTACCCCTGGTGGGCGTATGTGTCCCACACGCTGGGGCTCCGGCCATCCTCGTCCGCCGCTCCTTCAACCTGATCAATACAGTCAAAATCGCGATTCTATGTATGCATAATTCTGCGTAGAACCATTTTGGTGACCTAGAAATGTAAAAAATGTAAACTTGTTTAAGTTTTAAAACGCAAATTTAACTACGCGGACACCTGATAAGCCGATGTTCCTGCTCCGAATACGAACCCTTCCGGGAAATCCCCTCTGCTGTACTCCTCAGCTGCAAAACAAATACTTATCACAAGAACGAATACCATCCAAACTGCCCAAACCCATCGGCCATTTGTCATTTCTCTGCAAATTTTCACCAGTACGACTAGTAAATCGATTACCCGTTGGTGGTTGGTGCTCGTTTTATATCCTTCCCCTCCCCTGTTCGGTTCTGCACGAATTTTTTTTTGGGCCGTATGTCATATTCGTCCCTTGCGTGTTCTTTTGACGCCTTTCGTTGTGTCGTGTTTGATTTGGCCGGCCGGCGATGTTACAATTTACAGTGACAGGTCGCCGATTGCGTTTTGGATACTGGGAAAACTCCACTCGGGGGCAAGAGTGACAACCAAAGCAGGACCAAGACGAAACAGAGCAATTTTGTTGTTGTGGGTGCTTCTAGTTCTAGAGCGCGTATGTAAAGCCGAAGGACATGCACCATTAACGAAAGTGGGAAAACTCCATTAGGGGTGTGAAATGCTGTGGTCAAGTACGGACCGTCAAACCATGAAAATTATAGTTCTTAAAAAAGGGTTAAAGACACATTTGGTCACCGAGATTACAAAATCGGGACATGTTTAGTCACTAGAAAAAATTAATATCAAATTTGGTCACTACAATTACTAAAACTGGACACATTTAGTCACTCGCCGTTAGTCTCCGTCCAACTCCGTTAATAAAGTCCGTTAAGTGATGATGTGGCAAACAGAATTGCCTAATCAGCCGGATATAACCCAACAAAAATAAAACCCGACCCGCCACATCATTTAAACCAACCCAACCCAACCCATGACCCAATCTCACCCAACCCTTCTTCCTCCTTCCTCTCACCTCCTTCTTTCCCCAAAACCACCGCCGCCTGCCGCTCTCCTCCTTCCTCCCACCACCTTCCAACCCACTTCCGTGCTTCCTAGCAAATTCCCTCCCGAACCACTGAAGGTTTGTTTCTCTCGCCATTTTGTACCTTAAACACGATCGGAGAGAAAGCTTCGATTGGGGTTTTGTGAAACTCATCGGCGGGGAATAGAAAGCAAGCAAACAAACGATGATAGGCGGCAGCTCCCACTGCCCTACATGTAAACGTAGAAAGAAAGCTCGCAAGATCAAGGATAGGCTTAGCAAACTCCCCGACCATCTCCTCCGTCGCATTCTCTCCTCCGTCGACCCGAATTCGCCGTCCAAACTTGCCTTCTCTCCCGACGGTGGAGATCCGTCTGGAAAGGCGTCCCCGCCCTCAATTTGGACTCCAAATCCTTCAACAATACTGGCCATAGCTTCAACAAGTTCGTCTCCGAAATCATCTCCCGCCGCTACGACTCCGCCCCAGTCGATGAAATCAGCTTAGAAATTAGGGGCGCCTTTGACCATTCTTTCAGCGAGTCTTTCTCGATGTACCAGAGGCTCTTCGATTACGCGGCCTCGCTGAGATTCGACACTTTCGCGCCGCCGATGAGGAGTATGGAGAGCTCTGCCATTATTTTAACGATGCGGGATTCAGTTCCCCTGCTTTCAGAATGCTCGCGACTCTGCACCTGAAGGAGTGCCAGGTGTATTACCCCGGCAGCATCGACGGGCTCGACCAGTTCGCCGATTTCTCGACGACCTCCTTCAATTTCCAGGGAGAACGGCAGGCGGCGGTGGTTTTGGGGAAAGAAGGAGGTGAGAGGAAGGAGGAAGAAGGGTTGAGTGGGGTTGGGTCATGGGTTGGGTTGGGTTGGGTTGGTTTAAATGATGTGGTGGATTATAATGACGTGGCGGGTCGGGTTTTATTTTTGTTTGGTTATATCTGGCTGATTAGGCAATTTTGTTTGCCACATCATCACTTAACGGACTTTATTAACGGAGTTGGACGGAGACTAACGGCGAGTGACTAAATGTGTCCAGTTTTAGTAATTGTAGTGACCAAATTTGATATTAATTTTTTCTAGTGACTAAACATGTCCCGATTTTGTAATCTCGGTGACCAAATGTGTCTTTAACCCTCTTAAAAAAGTTATGCAAAATCATGACGTTTGGATTTTTGGCACAAATTTATGGTCATTCAAAGTTTGATAAAATCGGGGGAAAAACTCGTCCGGGGTAGCAAATGACGTTTTTTCGGGAGGAAGGCAGTAGCAGTTTGCGGCGTGCAAGATCTCGAAAAGTTATGCGGAATCACAAAAATCTTGCTACGATATCCGAGCATAAAGATACGTTCGTTTGAAGTTTCCACCTAGGTTAGAATTGATCGGAAAAAAATGAACCAAAGCGCTGGGGGCAGTTGTTTTGGACCAAACCGCCAGGCGCCAAGGCCGCATGCTATCAACAAAATCGCCCCGAACCATGCTGTTTTCACCAAAAACCAATCCCCACCCAGCGATTTTCGTGTGAACCGTGGGATGGGGTGGTGATTTCTGGAAAATTGTGACATTTTTTGAATTTTTTGGAAATGTAGATATTTTTGGAAAAAAATTTTAGTGGTATTTCTGAAAAAAGTCGGGTTCGTGTGTTGGGCTACCAAGCTCGCCTTCCTTCTTAGCATGGCCTGATCCAAGGAAACATCAGGTTCATGACCCATAATCTGGGTGGGCTCTATTTGGACCTTAGCTTGGGCTCGGACCATACTGATTTGAGCCCATAAAACCGCGAGAGACAGAAGTTCAAAAGACCTACTACTACACCACATTATAATTATTAGCAAAAAACAACTTCTATGGTTTGAAGAATGCTCTCTTTTTTTGGATGATTGGAGAATTCATTTATAATGAAACTATAGGGTCGAAAAATTGACGAGCAAATTTCTAATCATAAGCGTCCAGATAGATGATAATGCATAGTAGAGTTTAGTTCAAGGAGGAATTTTAGTTTTACACTTGCTTTAAATTTTAAAGCATTGGTACTTTAGTTTTTTGCTTTTATTGTACAAGCTTAACTTGTAGTTTTATTGTTATAGTAGAAGTTCAACTTGCATTTCGAAACACCAATACTTTAAAACATGATAGAAGAGCTCTAATTCAAATTGTACCGAAAAAATAATAACTAAACACAGTTAATAAGACTCATTATTTTTATTTTCAAATAAATTAATAGTTTATACAAAAAAAAAATTAAACACACTTAGAGTCAAAATATCACAATGTATTGATATCTTAGTACAAATAAATCTAAACAATAAGATATCATACTAAATTAAACAAGCCTTACTTCTCTCAGACCTTAGCTTCAAGGTGATATCACTCCTAACATCCATGGAAGGAGAAAACCTTAGAGATTAGATGAATTAGTATCTACGGGGAAGATCTTATCACCATGACATTATACAACAATTTAGCTCGACTAAACCCTAACCAGATAACCAACTTAATCTAACAGCCAACCAATTCACCCGTGTCTGCGTCTCTCATCTTGTCTATGCCAACCTCATCGACCAAACGAATGTCTATAATAAAACAGTGTACAGTACGAATCCAATCGATTACACTTGTCAAATCACGAACCCAAAACAAAACCAACTCGATTTCATCACGACTCAACTACAAGTCTTACCATCACTAACACACCATCACCATCCATTAATGAGATGGATCCTCAAAACCTCTCAACTAACTAACCAAAATAGCAACACCTCAAATCCCCCCCACAACTGGCATTGAAGATAAGGAGGACAAATGGTATCTCTCACACTCGAAAGTCAGCTTCCGCCAACCTCCAACAACTCATACTACTTGTACTCGTACTGCCTCCATCAATCATCATTGATGCAGCATTCATATAATACCTACCAACAACACATTACAATCCTCGGGCATTATTGCTCTCACATGGCCGCCTCCACCCAGAAAACTCAAAACTGTAATTACTAGTAGCCATCATGTTAGCTATGCGCTGGAGGAGGAATGAGGATCATGTTCTATAACACGCTACATAAATACAACCCACCGAATAAGGGAAAAAAAGAAAAGTAACCAGCAACGAACCAGGAAAGTAAGTACGGCAATGTGACGAAATGGGGACGGGTACCTAATACATCCGTATCACACTAAGTGCGGGTCGGATTAGATAATACTCGTTCAGATACGAGTTGCAGGGCTGATCAACCCAATCTTATATGTTAGTTTAAAAAAAAGAACGTTGATATTTAACTTTATTATGAGAAGGCGAAAGAAAATTAAAAGACATATAATAGAATGAACAATTAATTAAAAATAGAATCTTAAGATGAAAATATGATATCATGTATTGATGCATATCATAATAGAACACAACGAGAACAGGGCAAACCTAGATAAACTGAAAGTAATGCATATGTCTTGCCCCACACTACTACGAGTCTGTTAATAACCTGTCCAAACAAATTGAAACCGGTCGAATTGCAAGAAACTGTGACAGAGCTACATATTTTTTCATGTCCTTTCATTCTTTATCCAGAGAAGAACCATTTGTGAAACAAAAGAAATAATATAATAGAATTGGCGACGAAGCCAAAAGGAAATATGCCAGACAAGAAAAATATACACGAGTTCCCTGATTTAGAAAGGAAGGCACCAGACCAGACCAGGCGGGTCTGATCAAGATTCAAGACCACAGAAATCAGAACACGAAGCTGTGTCGTTTTGGGTTCTTCTTCCAAAGCGTAGCGACCGACCAACCAGCCAGGCCAGCACCTGCACCACCCACTAACGGAGAACCATTTTCACCGGACAAAAAACAGAGTTAACTGTTGAGTTTTCGCCACAGAGAGCTTATAATTACAGAGGGGGCTCTAATCACCTTCTTTCTTAAGCCAAACGAATATATAAATAATAATTATATATAAATAAGTAAAAGAAGGAATGAAACATATTTGACCGAGACACGAAGAAAAGAGGGGAGGAGGGGGAATTCTACAGGTGGTGGTGGTGGTGGTGGAGCTAGGTGGCAGGTGGCGGAAGGCGCCACGTATCACGCCGGCGACGAAAGGGAGAACCGAGTTTTTTTTTTTTTTTTGGCGGGAGAGCTGTATCTCGTCCTGTCTAGGCGTTTCCCGCCGGAATGTGGCCTGGAGTGCCACCGCCACCGAAGCTGTTCCTGTCTTTGGGCCTCCACTCGGTCCGTCCCCTCACAATCTCAGCACCTTCCTCCAGCCGGAGGAGGTGCTGGCACTCGACGGTGCCGCCGGCACTGCCTATGGTGCCTATCCCATTGCCGGAGACGGCAGTCAGGGACTGGAGGACGCTGTCCTTCCCGCACTCCCTCCGGTACTCCAGCGTCATGGACGAGAGCTCGTGGCTCTCCAGAATTGCAAGTGGAGCACTCTGCAAAGAACGACGAAGCAAATATCAGTACAGTTCACTGAGTGAGCGAGAAATAAGAGTTGGTTTTGTTTTTAGTTTTACAGGTTGGGAGGACGAGAGCAACCTCAAGGATCCAGTTGATGTACTTCACATTGTTGACATGCTGATTGACATCCAGGTCATTCCACCTAGGCTGGAAAACAATCGACAAAATTCGTTAGCTACAATGTGTGACATTTAGTGGCGAAATGGAGAAATAGATCACAGATTCAGAAGGACTCAGTACAGTTAATCCTTTGCGGATGTGATCCGCAGAGTTGTCATCGAGTTTCAGCAGCTTCCTGCTGTCTTCAGGGACAACAGGGTCGGAGTTGAGGAAGTAGGGTTCAATCTCCGATCGAACTTCTTCGGGAATCTTGGACAGCCTCCGTGTCAGTTTATTCATCATCACCCAGACACTGCATATTTTTGGCAAGCAAATCTCAGATACAAAGCTGAAGGTTCAACCAGATAAGGAAATGGGTTACTTGCAAAGGAATCAGGAAGTTCACCTGGAGGCTCGTGTCAGAATTTCGCCATTTTTACAGTCACGAATAAGCCAATCACGACGCATACCGTTTTTACCTGACCCAGTCACCCAAGTATCCACCTGAACCACATCACCCCTGCAAAGAACAACGAATTCAGTCCCGATCCCGGGTAATGTTTTCACTCAGATCAAAAATGGCAACAGTGGTAAGGAGAGCATCATTCGGTTTTCCAAGGCGCAGTGAATGTCTACAAAATCTTAACATTCAATGTCCTCCGGAACAGCTACTGGGAACCAAACCATTATTGGTGCTGGAAAAGCTACTTAGGGGCAGTGAGCTGTCAACTTCTATCCATCCTCACGAGTACAAGTAATAAAGGAACAAGCAAAAGGCACCCACTCCGGAGATGAAACATTAAAGAAACGGAGAGAAGGAAGTGCTCCAAATAGTAAAAGACAAAACAAAGAAGAAAAGTCTCATCCTACAAAATTCCAAGTTTGAACAGAGGTATGAAGAATCAAAGAGTCTCAGAACTCTGGAAGAGAACAACAAATGTCAAATGGTCTATTATCATTGGCAACCTAAAATGACAGAACAGGACAACCAACACTGAGAATTATCTACTAGCTATTGACGCTATAAAGCAACTAATAGCAGTAGGCCATGAGCATAATAACCCAGATCATACTCCGAATAAGAGCTTCAGAACAGCTGATCTGGCACGATGAATGAGAGCATATGATCTTCAAAATTA